TTAATGATTCTATGATTCTATGAATGCATAAAGCACCAAAAATATTTGGCTCAAATGGGATCAAATACCAAAACCATAAGTAAATTGGGGAAAGTGTGCAGTACCTTTATGAAAGTTTCATTTTTCTTATTGACTTCAGTAAAGACCAACATCTGTTTGTGTACTCAGCTACAAGTTCGCCCAGGTGACAAGATGGACTTTTTTCATTCTGTATTCTTTCTTTTTGTAACATCTTTTTCAGAACAAATTCTTTTATTACTAAAACACATGCATATCTTGACTATCCTTGCAAGCAGACCACAACCCCAAAAGTGGATCTAGAACTTTGCTCAAGCTTCCACCTAACCATTTAAGTGGCTGGCAAAAAAGTGAACAGCTTCAGAGATTTGCTCCATCTTGTACTTATCAGTACAGGTGATACTGCAAGTGTCCTTCCTTTTGTTCATAAGAATTGATGAAGCCACACCTTATTGCCACTGCAAACAGTAAGAGACCATGTCACTGAAATAAATAAGCTCTCCATTTCTCATTTAATTTGGGCAAATATGATACACAAATTACCTGAATTACATTCAGAAACAGTACTTTAAATGCTGTGCTTTCACATTTTGTTACATACACAAAAGCAACAATTTCAGCCAAAGAAACCAGAGATTACTGAAGTATTTCTAGCCAGTGTCCAACTCACTGTTTTAAAGTTCACATAGTTTCTAAATAACTGCAGTCTACTAGGAAAAAAAAAAGCAACTTCCTTCCCTGGCTATGCAGATTTTGTGAAAGAGAGTAGTAGAGGACTGACACAATATTTAGAACACAGCAGCACTCAATGTTTGTCATCCTGGCATGCCTTAGACTGTCCTTTGATTATTCTTTTAGATCTTTCTCATGACTTCTAAAAACACTAAGCATTTTTTTCCATTATTTTGCATAAGGTATGGCTCAGCATTTTTCAAAGAGGTTTTCTCTTAGCAATGTTGTCCAGAACAAAGTAGAACAGTATCAGTGACTGATGCGAGCTAGTGAAGGAGTAAGCTAATATTTTATGACTTATTTAACTCAAAAAATAGCTTATTTAATCGGTGGACCTTGCTTTTTTGATTTAATTAAAATTAGAAGATTAAAAAATTACCACAGATTCAACAGTTAGTAGCTTCTATTCATACAAAGCAATTATGTGCATCAGAGCTTGCTTTTTGTTTGAAGTCCCCAGAAACATCACAAGAAATACTCGAAGACTTCTGCTTGTGTTTAGATTTAGATTTACCAGTTTCCTTATATTTGTTGAAGCCACTCTGGCCATCATTTTAACAGCTTTGTAACAGCTACCTGCTTCTCTATTGATCTACAAATGTCACTGGCAATTTCAGTACCACATGTGTACGTTTTCTAAATACTTCTTACATCAGTTCACTAACTTTTATCAAATAAGGCTGCATGATACAACATGCATTTGCATAGGGTATAAAATACTTAATCAAATCAGAATACCCATTTGATATCCATCAGATTTTACTGAATTATTTGGAAATTATAGTATAGAGGATCTCTGTCGTAAGATCATAGTATGGATTATTGAAATATCACTAGTAAGATGCTGTTTAAATAATGGCTTAAAAGAAAGCACTTAAAATTAAATTTACCTGAGAAAGCGTTACTATAATATCTTGAGAGTGTTTGCATAATATCTTTGGAATGCTGAGTCCATGGAGCTATCTTTCTATAGGTTTTTACTCTGTGGACAAGCTGAGAACCTCCGTATTGCAGAGAAAGCGTGTCTCCATGATCTTCATATAATTCTTCAAATAATCTAAAGGAAAGCAAAATGTGTCATCTACCAAACTACTAATAAAGTATTGTAATAATAAAGTCTTTCTGTTTAACAAGCAATACATTTTCTTCTCTTAAGTACTTCTGCCAGTTTACAAAACCAAGTATTTCATTAAAACATGCTATTAACTTACAAACACTGAAATTTAAAGCTATGTCTCTATTCTTTATTCAGATAAATATGTGGAAATTTTATTCAGATATAATAATTACTAAGCAGGATTAGACTGTAAGATTTTCACTAATTTATAACATATCAGAATGCATTCACACTACAGAATATGCACTTCTGTAGATTCAGGGAGAAGATTAACAGGGAGATTACTAGTCCACAGGGAGAAAACAAACTGTATACCATCACAAATTAAGGTATTTTAAATACACTAAATGGGACAGAACACGTCAATATCTCAAGGCTATGTTTTCTGTCAAGTCCACTGAGAATGAAGTTAGCGTAACTTTCCAAAAATTTCCCTAGTTACAATAATGATGGCTCAAAGGTACAAACTGAATAAACATGACTTGTAAGAAATGTGAATGGCAGTCAGATACCATTTGCTGGAGCTGGAAAAATACGATGTAAGAAGAAGGTAGAAAGAATTGGCTGCTAAGATGAACAAGGAGAGCTGACTAAAAGCAACGCAGGCAGTCCTCTAGCATCAAGAAGTTAACAGCAGACTCCACACTGAGAGCAGTCCAAATAGCAAAAGTTATCAAGATGCTCCCCATCAATGACAAAAACAAGGCAACAGTCTCAGAAAACAAGGCTATCCTAAGGAGATGACATCCAGTCTAAAAGATAACAGATTGAAAAGTGCTTCTTGGAAATGGAGATTATGGCCTTGCTTGAGCAAGACAATTACAAGGATGACGTCTTGCTAAGAGGCTGAAAGTTTAGTTAAGAGGCAAAAAACCAAAACAGAACAAAACCAAAAAAAAACCCCAACCACCAAACCTGTGGAAACATATTTCACATCAGTATAGCAAGACACAGTAACTCAAACATCTGCATGTGATACACTGTAATGCCTGAGAAGAAAGAAGTCCTTAAGAAGTGGAAAGGAGGGTAGAAACAAACACACCAACACCGCCACACCAACACCGCCACACCAACACCGCCACACCAACACCGCCACACCAACACCGCCACACCAACACCGCCACACCAACACCGCCACACCAACACCGCCACACCAACACCGCCACACCAACACCGCCACACCAACACCGCCACACCAACACCGCCACACCAACACCGCCACACCAACACCGCCACACCAACACCGCCACACCAACACCGCCACACCAACACCGCCACACCAACACCGCCACACCAACACCGCCACACCAACACCGCCACACCAACACCGCCACACCAACACCGCCACACCAACACCGCCACACCAACACCGCCACACCAACACCGCCACACCAACACCGCCACACCAACACCACAAAAGCATTCCCATAAAAAAGTTTCCAATAAAGGGATAGTACTGCATAAGTAACCTAGCAAGCATCTGACTGAAGTCCTCCTCAAAAGGTTCTGGATGAAGAACACTTATTTGAGCAGCAAAATCAATGTCTCTAAAAACATACAGCTGTCCAGCAAATCTTCTGCCCAAGGTCAGGTACAAAAAGATCAGTTAGGAGGAAACACCTGCTTATTAACTTAAAAAAAACCCAACCAAACAAAAAACCACAAAAAATCCCCAAACACCTCCCCTCCCCCCCCAAAACCCCAAACCAACCCAAAAACACAACAAAAGAAACAAACCAAAACCCACTTTCCTCCACACAAATTGTTCAGAGCTCATGATACCATGTATGAGAATCTCCTGTTTGTTTCTTTGGGTTTGGTGGGTTGGTTTGTGTGGGTGTTTTGGGGTGAGTGGTGTTTTGGTTTTTTTTCTTCTTTTTAATAGAAGGGAAAAGACAACAATGCTGATCAACTAAAAGCTAAAAAACTGATTGAAGGCAAAAAACTGGTAGGTAAAAGGATGATACCTCTCAAAAATTTCCCAGTCAGCCATGGGAGACTGATGAATAGAGTTCCAATGACCTTGCAATAAAGGTTCACAGAAAGCAGACAACTTTAAATTCATTAAGGACATTGATCCACTTGATTTGGAAAGGACTTGTAGAATTAAATTACCCTTCCACAGCCTCAAAATATTAAGCCTGCAGTCAAACAAAGACTAGTCTTCTGTAGAGAGAAAAGTTAACTACACATGATAAAATAAGCTGCTAAGGTACACTTTGTCTAGGAAACTTCCTAGATAGGACAACAATTACACTGAAGGAATCCCTAAGAAATACAGCTTGCAGAAATGGTCCTGTGCAACAAAGTCATTAAGAAAATTAATCGTGCGTTACACAAAATCAGACTGTTCAAGACGAAATAAAATGCTGACTTCAGAAATCTAGTTCAACAGAAATTCTGGATTGTAGCCAGCCAGTGAGACCATATGAGAAAAATCAGAATTATAAGAAGGACAGTCGAAGAACGTGATGAAAAAAAGTTAGTTTTTCAGAAACGTTAGCTAAATTAAGGAAGACAGACCGCTACAGATTACCCTCTTTGGCCAGTTAGAATAGTGTAAATGAAGCGGCAGAGTATGCAGGAAGCAGATACTTGATGTGAGACAATGCAGGGAACAAGAATGCAGGAGGTCAAAGTGAAAGACTGCACAACAGAGAGACAGTATAGCACATGCCTGTCTTCAGAATTTGCTGCATTATGGAGCAGGATTTTTTAATTATTCTGAATACAGTAATTCAGAAACAAGTCTTAACAGATGACAAAATCTGTTTCAAACAGGCATACATCTAGTGCAGTGGAGAAGAAAAAAAATAAGTCAAATGTGGCCAGATAAAAGTAACCTTTTATGCCAGGCTAATAGCTACATTTCAGAGAGATAATGAGAAATAAGGTATCAGGAAAATCAGAGGGAAAGCAAGTACTATAATATTAAGAGATGATGGTAAGAGACGGAAATTTGGGTGGTCGGGTGGAAATGGATGGAAATTTGGGTGGGAAACAGGAGGGAGAGAAGATAGACAGGAAACATGGGACTATCACAGCAGGAAGCAACAGAGGAAATTTGGGTTCCCAAAATAGAGGTGGGAAGGGGGGAGATAGTAAAGCCTACGGAAAGATCGTAAAATGCAGCCTGAGGTGCTGAAGTAAGTGGTAGCTGTAGAGGATACCACAGAGACTGGATATGAGAGACCTGTCCACCTCCGATCCCCTCTAGTTAGAACCCAAGAGTCCTGATGGCTGAGCCCCCAGGAAGCTGCACAGCAACTGGTATTTGCAGCAGCAGTTGTTTGTTCCCAGAGGTAAACATGCAGCACCCAGCAGCTGGGACATGGTGGATGAGAGGCATTGCTAGCACTCCAAGGAAGCCAACCAGCAGGTGCTCTCCCTGGCCATCAGGCAGAGGCCAGGAGCCACCGCTTGCACACTGAGCCAACATGCTGCAAGTGAGGTTCTTTCTGTGGCACATACTGGCTCCTGGCACCAGGCAAGTGCTGGAAGCTAAGGGGAGACAGAATAGGAGCTGAAGGTATGTCTCGAGTAAAGGGGAGGGGAGACTGAGTACTTTGTCTTTTTTGTTAAACATGAGTTACGTCTCCACGTTCCAAAACTATCAAACAACTAGTCAAAACCAGCAATAAAGCCATAAGTTTCACAGTCACGACAACAGCTTTAAGGAATAAAAACACATCACCTCAAGGACTCTTACATTAATTTCTGAAGCATATTCACAAGTTGAGTAGTTTAGTTCCCCCTAACCCCCAAAGCATTTTAATTTAAATGCCGGGTTTTCTTAAATGGTTTGAGGATGCTTGAGTAAGTATCATTGATACTTGATCTGAGAGAACAACTTCGCTGAAAATTTTTCTTCAATAATTCAAAAAGCACAAATTTTTTCCAAAGGACAAGTAGGAAAGAGCAAGGTAAGATGTACTTCTATACAAATATCAGTTTGCCATTCTCCATAAAAGCATGTACTTATTTCAGTTTTCATTTTTTGTCAGCATTTTGCCTCATGCAAGTGAAGTAAGTGTAAAAGTCTGGGGTTGGTTTTTTGTTACATTTATTTAAAAGGAAAACTCTTAGCTTTAAGTTTAGGCACATAAAGAGAATGAAGTCAAGCAGTTATCTTGTAAGAAGCCTGGTACTTTTCCAGAAGAGCAAATTTTCAGCATGACTGGATTTTCTCAAGAAGATTTCAAATACAGAAGATTTTTTTAAACTTGGATGAATAAACATTATTAAATCATTCCAATAGAAAGAATTGCACTTTTTTTTGACATAGACATAATTTTCCTAAATCTCTTGACACAAAATCAAAAAATAAAGCCACAATACACTTTATTAATATATCTTACCTAACAGCATCTGTATCAAATTGTAAATTTGGTTTATCAATCAATCCCAATGAATAGAGTTGGTATGCCAAAGCACATTTTCCCACCATAAACTGGGCTGTGTTAGTGCGATCTAAACAGTCCACACAATTGGTTCGGAGAACTCCAGTCTGGTAAAGCAATCCAAATAAGAGATTTTTCTTAATTAACAAATTACTACACTTACGATTATTATCACCACAGTCATGCACATATTCTTTTATGCTGCTTGCACCACCATTCTTCAATTCCGTAATGCACACAAAGTTATTTTATAATATGAACAGTTGCAAGAAACATTTTAATATAACAGCACAGGGGATTCTTCTGCTCGAATATATATGGCTACATCCAAGCTAGTCAACTGAACTTTTATTGCCTTAACAAAGAAGCACTTTTTGGGTGTGACTCACGAGATGTCTATTCCAAGATGAACTGTGATCCAAATGCTTACATGTATGCCAATGGTAACTACCTCAAATGATTAAAGTTGAAAGATAGATAAAATAATCATTCCCCTAATACAGGTAAACCTGTAAGACTAACATTAAAAAAAAAAATCTAACTAGTGTTGATATGTTTTATTTTAAAACAGATCAAATTCTACCTACTCCACTGTTTATCTGCCCTCAACAAACATATTCCAGTGATCAGCTAGTGAAGAAATGGTCACATGCTTTCTAACTTACATGAACTGCAAAATTATAAATGGCAAGTCAAAAGCAACTAATGCTTCTTAAGAATATGCCCTGTGTTCAGAGTATATAATCATAACATTCAGGTATAAATCTGGAACTGTATGGTTTACAGTTTAGTCAGCACTTAGAATTCTGACCTTACAGAAAGCAGTGTTTCTAGTTTTATTTTCTTTTATTGATGGAAATTGTAACAACGTACAGAATATTTAGCACTGGTGAAAATGCTTTTAATAACCCATTTTCATCTGTATGAATATGTCACCAGGCTTAAGTATGCTTATTCCTCACCTCTTCTGTATAACATTATATTATGAAGTTTGCTAAAATGCTGCTGTTTTAACTTTCACTGCACTGGTAACACTACAGACTAAATAGTAATTGAAACTAGTTTAAAATACGAGCATTTCTCAGACTACCTCCAGCAAAAATACAATTCCAACAGCATAAGGTTTTGCGGTACCACGCAAGAACTTTAAATCCTATTTCCCAATTGGATTTTTGGGATGGACTGCAATAATGCTGTTTACTATAAATATTAATTTAAGAGCACTCTGTGAATCACCTATCAGGTATTTAAGTGAAATGGCTCACTGGTGCTTTGGGAGTGCTGTTCTACATCACTATAACTATGAATTAATAAAGTGTATCTTAGTACCTGCAAGCGACCAGTGGAAACAACATAACCTCCCAGTTCTTTCCACCTGAAAGAGAAACAAAGCAGAATGGCTTACAAATAATTTAAAAAAATAACAGATCATACCATGTATTGACCTGCTCAGTGAAAAAAGGGTGACAATTAAAAACCTGCCACGAAGCAAAATTGATATCCCTGAATAGCAGAAAGCAGTGAAAGCTCTATGCAGCAGTAAGATGTTGTATTCAAACCATGTTGCAAAAAAAAAAAAAAAAAAATCTAGCCTTAAAGTAGAAATATTCCAAAACCATACAAAATATTTCCTATGCTCCCCATAAAACAGAGTATGAGCAACGCAAGTGTTGCTAGACTGGGTCTTGAGTGCACGAAAATTGAAGTAGGTACAATGCCAACGACTGGAAAGTAAAGGCATAACATACACTGTAGCGCAAGCTGGTTGATTTAAATCTCCCTCCCATACTGATTTTAGGCATACATGCTAGATACATACATATGCATATTGTCCTGGTCTTGCAATTGTGTAGGCCTTAACTGTACCCCAAAGGCAGAGAACATGAATCAGAAATTAATGACATTTTGAGGTAGAGGAGCAGTTACGCTCGGTGCAAGTAAACCCTGAACTACTGAGTATTTTCAAGTTAGTAGGGTTACCTAGCCTGATCAGAGCACTGCTATGGCAAGCCTATATACCACATTTGAGACTCACCAGACTCTCTCTACAGAACACAGCATTACACAGATGTGTTGATCTTGTTCCTGCTAGTTTACAGTCACCATGTTTGCTGCACTGTATGGCAGAGAAAAACTCTAAGGGAGCCTATGAGAGTTTTAGCTCAGATTGTGTCTAAATGAAGATAGGCTAAAAAGGCAAAGATGCTCTTCATGTAAAATATGAACGCCCATTTGGGTAGTGATGAATTAGATCCCTAACATGAAAACTTGAATCAAAAACTTATTGAACTTTTAATGTGAAGTTATTTTACTTCTGGATTTTCACGGACTTGAGAGAATTCAGCTGATTAAATCACTTCTGCAGCAGTCTAACCAAATACAGCTTTTTTAAAAAAAGTTTTAAATTTTGTACATATGAATACCATAAAATCTATTGGAAAACATCAGACTCGGTAACATTTAGATTTAGATTATAATCACCTTATTAGTATGCCTCAAAAGAAGCCATTTATTAAATTCCAAATGTTGTTTGCTTTGTTAAATTTAGCCCAAATTTAGGATTCTTTTGGTTAAGGTGAAAAAACCCCCCACTATATATGAACACACATAGCACAGATTACAAGTTACAAATAATGGTTTGAAGTAAGAATTCATTATAAGTAGAACAGCAGCAGCATAATTGTACTCTTTCAGTGTATTAGTATTTCTTAGCATGTGCCTCTGACTGCATCCTTTTAGCTATAACTTAATAACGAATTATATTTTTTCATATTAATTTAAACCTTAAAATAAGAAATAATGTAATAGACAGAAATTCCAGACAAATCTCCAAGAAATAGCTGTTATTCATTATGCATCAATTAAATTATATGTACTTTTCGTCTGGCCGCAAGATACTGCAGTAGGAATCAGGTCGATTTACAAAAAATCCAGTCTTCTTTACTACACTTTCTGCAATCACATTCAGTCTATCAAGGACATTGCAAAGTTTGCTGAGGAGAGAAAAAAAAAATACACAGTCAAGATACATTAATACTAAAAAAGTTTTCACTGCTTGGAAAGTCTTTTTAATAACAAAAATCATTTAAAGGAGGACTCACATCACAGCTTTATTTATCCACCAGTAATTATATCTATAGTTTTCTTATATTTTACAGACTTAGGAAACAGACACTGACCAAATCTGAGCAATTTTGTTTACTTTTTAATAAAACATATTACATAAACTAGAAGTGGAAGACATTAAAAATCTAAAACTCCTGGACTTTTACATCACACTAATTTTCCTCTACCAAACTTTCTGTGACTCACAAAATAAGAATGAGGCAGAAAAGGATATATGATTATGCTAAATCATATTCCCTCATTTTATTTGCACGGTGCTGTTTCAGTAACATTTGTTTCCGTGTCTGGCCTTCATAATGTCCTGAAACTCCTGCTCAGATCGGGGCATCCATTCGTTCATTGTCGGGGATTTTAACTTCTGTTTACTCATGATTTTATTTTCAAAGTTTTTATTAGTGTTTACATTTCAAGTAACAAAAACAATTATTTATTTTTTAAAGATTGCTTATACTGAGATGGAAGCAATATTTTGGAACATTTCCACTGGTACTACTTTCCAGCAAACTTACTTCAAAACTACATGTTAAAGCAAACACGTTCTCAGTACTCCTGAAACCGTCAATTCTTTAGGCAGACATATACATTATCTTCCATTCTTAAATACCTCTTGCTTGCATAAATAATCTTGTTCAAAGCCCTCAGGTATTTTTTGTATCTGTACTAGGGTGGATATGTATATAAATATACCTCAAGCTTAAAGCTAGAAGGGGGAATCCTTTATCACCTAGTATCATTTCCCATATGGGACAGACCACTAAGCTTCATCAGCAGCACTCCATATGAAACCCAAGAACTTGCACCTAGCATATCTTCTGAAAGGAAATCTAGCCTTATTTTGAGAGTTGCTATTTAATAATAACAAAAACAATTGAATATAAACCTAACTGTACACAATGCCATTTTAGAATAAAAATGTAGCGTGAAATCACGTCGAATTTAAAGTAACAGTTTCATACCTACATGACCAACCATATCAACGAACTTGTAATCTCAAACAGTGAATAAGGATTGTTTTCCAAAGCTTTTCTCATAAAATTTTAATTGACAAACATTAATTACATTCATGCCCTTTGAACCATACCAGTTTTTCCATTCTTTTGCTCAGACTGATATAGTAACGGATACGTGAAAGTTGATCCAACAACTCTTGTCATTCTTCTAGAATGTCTGGCATTATAAGATACAGTAGACATATGCAGGCCAGAGAACTTTACAACTGAGTTGTGTGTTACTTAAGAATAGCAATCTATACCTGTAGATTTAAAACGTTTGTGCCTTGTAAATGTTTCTACATTTAGGAAAATATTCATCCTTTTCATGTGATCTTAGTACAGCATTCTATTGTCCAAAATTATAGAATAAAAAGTTACAGAATTTATTTGCCTTTCTAAGATACATGCTTCTAATAATCTAAATGTTTTATAACATTGAAATTAATGCCCTCATTTCCTTTTGGAAGAGGAAATGGAAAAGATTGATGGATACGAAACCCCTTGTTTTCCAAAATTTTGTAAATCAATAAATTCAATGATTGAAATGGAACAACTGACAAAATGCAGTGTTTGGAATAATTCAAAATAAAAAGTGAATGTTGATGGCTTTTTTGTGGTTTTTCTCTAAAATTTTCCTTTGCAGAGAATTTCAAAGTTTTCAGGTCTTGCTCCACTTTGGTAAGAAACCATAGAAAACATTAAAAAGCCTTAAAAAAGCTGAGGTTTTATTCTGTCCATAGATCTTAATAAAATTCTCCCATCGTTCCTAATCTACGTTCAACTGAAAAGAGAGACACTCAGTAGCATACAGTTATTTGTATTGTGGCTAAGAGCACTAGTACAAAGAAGGATCTTTTCTACCTTTTTGTGTATTTGGCCATATCCCAGGGTATATATATAATTGCATGCTCTGGGGGTAAAAACTGGTTGAGATACGTCACAGCAGCAACAAGTTCTTCACTAAGAATCCTTTCATGCTTTCTTTTTTCACGTTCCTTTAGCAAACAGAAAAGCAAGTTAACATTACCATTTTCACTAACAAATGAATGTAATCCTTATACATACACGTATACATGTATGTATATATAACAGAAATTAAAAGTGGAAGCCGTAACAACAGCAGGCAGTTCTTCATAACTAGTACAATTAAGAACAGAAGAGACAGAAAATCTAAACGTTCTGGGTTTTTAACAACTGATCCGTATTAGTAGTAAAAGTCACCCATTTCAACTGTGCATAATCATTGGCTGAAAAATGGAACCCTGTAAGAGCAAACGAGCACAAGGAAACAGAAGTGGTAATAGAGAAGAAACAGACAAAGACAAAAGAGAAGGAAAAAAGACAGGCAGAAAGGAAAGTATCCCATTCAGTGCTGGCATACAAGAGGACCCAGGTAAATTCTTCTCCGTTACTGACAGACGGGGAACAACAGATCCCATGTCCCAGCTTTGCAATAATTCTAAAAAATTAGAATTATGTTGCCATTCTTGGAATATACCATATGTTTTGGCACTCTATATATTAGTATGGCTTTCCTCTCAACTTCATCCAAACTAAAACCTGTACTGAACCTATGTTATAGAAACTGCTTTAAATATATAATAGCAGTCCTAAATAAACAAACCCAAAGGAAGCCTAATACATTAATTACTAGTTAACAAGTTTCTAGAATAGAAAAATATAAGACAACACAGATTTATGTTTCATCAACATTTAAGAAATCAAATAATAGAAGTACTGGAGATAGAAGTGCTTAGCATTTGTGTAGAAGCAACAGCAACATCCAAAAAAAGGTGTTCAGATTTGGAGGCTTCTCCCCCTCACTTCTTTTTTTTTTTTTTTTTTAAGCAGTACATAAAGTAATAAAGGAACATGAATTTTAGCATCTTAATATTGAGCATCTACAGAGAGGGAAAGAAATGCATCTGCAGCCACTGTATCAAAAGCCCTGTGAATAAAAGGATATAACGATTCACACATCAAGGTCATGTGAGCCTAGACTCACACTATAACAATGGCTTTTGAAAGCTATGGCTGCAAGAGATAGAATCATTTTCTTGTCAACAAATGCTATCCTAAGTTGATTCCACAGACTCTTGGACAGTCTTAAAAGCACTCCTACACAGGAAAGCTTCTAAAAATAGAAAATAGATTATCTAGTTGCCATTTATTACACTTCCTTTTGTCTTTTCCCCATTTTTTTATACTAGGAACGGATCCTACATGCACATAAAAGATCCTTTTTTCTACTGAATACAGTTCTACAACATGATAAATTAAATGATTTTTTTTAGAGCCTAAAAAGAAGTAAGATATAATTCAAGCAAAACAAATCAATATATTAAACTCAAATGTGGAAACAGACACCAACCACCGAAAATGACTAGACAGAACAGAAAAAAAAAAACAAAACCAAAAGAAAAAACCAATGCAAATACAAGATGTAAAAACCAAAATTACAGTGCCACCCAGAATCCAGGCTTTGTACCACAGCCTCTCACACAGCAGCAATTACTGCAGCAATCATGAAGCTCCCCCCCAGTACTGCAGCCCTGCTGCCACTGGCACTGCCAGTTAGCTACCATCAGATGCTTCAGTTTTCTCTCCTGCTTACTTCCATGAGTCTACCAGCAAACAACAAAAGACAAGTCTTTATCATAATATTTCAAATAACTCGGTCATCTGTGTCAAGAAGCCTACAAACCTCACTTTGCATGGTACCATACTATTTTAACATTTTTTAGTGCTAAATTAAATTTAGTGGGAAATTTATTTGGACTTAGTCACATCTAAGTGGTAATAGCAAAAACCTGAAGACAACAGTGAAAGTTACTAGAAGTCGTCTATAAATATGGGAAACTTCTTTTTTTGAAGGGCTGTAGTAGAAGCAGTTAGAGAGTTAGGTACTATCCCAAGTACGATGAGATTTATGAAGAAAATACGCCTTTTATAAGCTAGTATTAGTTTAGAGCACAACCAAAATTACACAGAGACTCTACAGAAATAAGCATCATATTAGAAACTAGAAAACATACAGAATGAAATATTGTACCTTCACAAGATTCAAAATAATAATGGGAGAGCCAAATCTCTGAAGCATTTGGTCAAAGTGAAGAGCAGCAACATGTGCAAAAGGATCTGCTTGGTCCACTGCAAAAAATACATATATTCAGGACAATGTTACATGAGCTGTAGTCAATTAAATAATTTTCCCTTAAAAGTACTCTTCACAAAATACATACTAATTCTCTAATAGTAATGATACAATTACATACTCTTCCCTCTTCATGCAAAAGCTGTTAAAAATATCTTCCCTTTTCCAAATTGGAAGTGACTTCTTAACCAAAACTTTCCTGAGATGCTTACAAAGAGCAAGTATTCTGGTCCCATTAAACTTAGCCCAGGTGTTTTCCACCACTTTCAATAGGTTCAAAATAGTATCCACAATACTAAGATAAATGTAGCTAACTTTGCATATAAAATAATAAGCACAAAGAAAGCGGACATCTTCAAACAGAAGTTTTTTGTATTCCATTTCTGAATGTGAAGACTAAGATGCAGATTTTTTCCTATTCAATTCCATCAAATGCAGCTTTTTATATGGTTGAATGTTTATATGCCATGATGTTTATTATAAAGAACATTGGTTTACCTTAAATTATAGCTTCCCAAAGAACAAATGCATAGGCAATTTGTTCATTTTTGCAAATTTAGTTTTCACATACTCTCTCAGGTGTTCCTTTAGGACACAGCACTAACTGTAAACTACCACAAAGAATAATTTGTACATACATGTTATGGGTGGCTTAGGCATCATAGTTGAAATATCTTGAGACCAGTACAGAGGGACAGATCCTCGAACCTGAACGTAGGAAGAATAACTCCCCGCAGAAAATGACATAACTGAAGCATCATAAAGTATTTGTTCAGTTTCCACTTCATTAGCAACATCTCCCTAAACCGAGCAGAAATACACCTGTGATGTAGACATGACACTTCAGAGCTGCACGCATTATAGAGAATTGACCATTACAAACAGAGTACAACTAAACTGTAAGACACCAAATCATCAGTGAGAACACCACTGAAGGTTAAACTCCCATTTGTCTCTAAATGTATATTATCAGATTTTTTTTTCCTCTCTATTTGGAAATAACATTATCTCTAAGTGTAAGGAAAAAAAAAAAAAAACAACTGTCAGTTAACTTATTATTTTAAGAACAGCTTTATTATCTGAATTTAAAATGTAATGATAGCTGTGATAACATTATCTAATAGCATAATTTAAACCAAAGCCCTAACAACCTTCTAAAACATTTCAGTTCTCCAGGCAGTCAAGTTCAAGCTTTCATATTGTTGGGGGTCAGAGGGGAACCCCTAAAATCACATTTAATTTACCTCACAGTTTGCTCCTCGTTTCAGAAAACGTGTTCCAGCAAATTTGCTTGATCTTCTGGCTATCAGAGTGACATATATAGGGCGACCGTATATTAACAGTTCTTGAAAGAGAAGTTAAGGTTTACATGCCACATGCAATTTTTCGTTCACTTACTTCATGCAAACAAAAATAAATTCTAAAAAAGATGTATGAAAGTGAAACATCTGATTTACTAAAATATCCTTAACAGAGATGAGTATCACTTCCAAATTTCTTTTGCAGCTGGAAGAGAGCGTTGTCCTTTTCAACAGTCATTCTGAAGAACTTTGAAAAGGGAATCTACATTATAATACATCAACCACTTTTTACAACCTATGGAAGAGAACTATTTCTGTTTTATGAAGTGACAATGTAGGTGAAGTAGGTGCAAGATTCACCTTGGGCCACAAATACTGCTTTTGTGAATACTGGGATTAAAGCCTGGGAGCTTCTATTTTCAGATCAGGTATATTAGTCATCCTCTAATTATTTGTCTGGAAAAGTAGACAAATTTGCAACTACTTAAGTAAAACCAACTGAAAGCCAGAGGCAAACAGCTACGGATGCTGTGGTGGCTTTCTTTTAGGCTCTTTATTTGTTATTAAAAAGATAGAATCAGATGTCTAGTGTGACTATCACTGCTTCCTTAGCAGAAGGGAGGCATAAGAAAGAGGGAAGAAGACATTTGCTCATCGAATTTTCTAGAGCAAAGACTACTGTCACTCACAAAGCAGCTGCAGGCATAATGCTGGTGGTCTGATCCACAGCTACCACTTTGATTAAGTAAGACCCCAGATGAAATAATGGTATATAAAAACAGATCTAGCTTTCTGTCTGGGGATCAAGCCAGCAGCCTTACAATCGTGAAAAAACAAAATTAAATTTTGCAAAGATATCACTAACCTTAACTTCATAATTGTATTTGCTTCCCCAGATATTTTGTTGACAGGCTTTTGAATTAACATGATACTGTTGATGATTAAAATATAGTGTCTGTGTAATATACAAAATTCTTATCAACTAAGATGTTGAGATGGCATTTCTTTGGAGTGTGATATGCATTTGGGCTTTTTCTCCTACTACTACAATGTACATAGACCCATTTACCCCTTTTAAATAATATAGTCAGGAAAAAAGATTTTCAGATGTTCTAGTGTTTACTTAACTCTCTTCACATAGCAGGCATGAAGTTCTTTCATCGTCTTCAACAGAAACAGAATTTCTGCAAATCTCAGTTACTAAAAAAAAGTTTTAAAGGAGATTAGCAAGAGAACATTTCTATGTCAGCAATTCAGTTCTGTTTAGCTTTTCTCCCCTTCCTCAAATATCAGTGAAAAGTACAGCTGAGCCTTAAAATCCTCTGAAGTTCTTTATTACTAAACCCCACGCTTACAGTGCCTCACTGAGAATGCAGTCTACCTGTGTCAGGACCCTGTAATAAGAACATAACCATATTTCCTGTTTAGCCATAAAACATAGAAAAGTAATGAAAATAAAAGCCAATGAATAATTCTAAAATTGAAAGTATTTACATGACAAAGAAATAATTCAATGTGTTTCACACCTTCAAACTTTTTAAAAATCGATAAACCAACATTGGTTACAACAGTAAAAGGATACTTGATTGCCCACAGAATCCGTGAATAATATACAGCAGCCAGTCACGATGAATAGTATTTTTTACTGCATCAAGAAGCTTGCCATTCCACACATATTTTTCGTAAGGCTTACTGCAAATCCCAAACACACCTAGGAAGTTACAATGAAAATGCATTAGCAATTAAGAAACAAGCTTACCTGTATTCGACTCTTTTAAATTCAGGTCATTGGACCTTTATTTTGATTCTCCCTTGACTGCAACTCAGCATATCATCTACTCGCACCCTTGAAGTTTGCCAAACACAGATAACTTCAGGCACATGCTAAAGTTCCGCATTCACAAGGATTTCAAATTTTTCTATGGTTGCCAGTCACTGTAGTATTTGAGTGCCTTCATGCAGAAGTTTCTGATACTTCCAGTACCGAAAGGAGATCTTTGCATGGTGGCAGCAGAGGATTTGATAATAAGGGAAATAAATCAAGTTGCAAATTCCAGTTAAGGCAAAAGTACTCTCATAAGAGGACTTTATAAGCTTTTTAATTCTGGGTCACCTCTGGAATTATCTGTTAGGCTCTGGAAGATCATGCATAGCCCTGGCCCCCTTTACAAAAAGCATGTCAATCCCCTTCTCACATAATTTAGCCTGGTTTTCCTAATTTGCACTGACACCAAGAAATGCAGCTATTGTAGACCTGCAAATAAAAATTCAATTTCTGATACATCTGGAACCTGAGTCTTTTGCTATTTCAAAAATCAGGACCAAAATCATAACTGGCACTAAAAGGTGGTGAAGGGAACTGAATGAGTCTGAATCTTAAAGAGAAGGAATAGGACAAGAACTCTATTAGCTACATTTTTTGTCTAGTTTTTTCAAATGAAGCTTCTGGGAAAGCAGGACTCCATCATGCGTAACGGTTACTTGGGAAGACAAACGCCATCACTCCAAATGTCCCCCCCTTCCTTCTTCTTCCCCCAGCTTTATATGCTGAGCATGACGTCATATGGTATGGAATATCCCTTTGGTCAGTTGGGGTCAGCTGTCCCAGCTGTGTCCCCTCCCAACTTCTTGTGCACCTCCAGCCTACTCACTGGTGGGGTGGGGTGAGGAGCAGAAAAGGCCTTGACTCTGTGTAAGCACTGCTCAGCAATAATGACAACATCCCTGTGTTATCAACACTGTTTTCAGCACAAATCCAGAACACAGCCCCATCCCAGCTACTATGAAGAAAATTAACTCTATCCCAGCCAAAACCAGCACAATGAGTTGTACTGTAGCAGTATGTACGTCAAATGTTATAGCAGCCAAATGTTTTGCTGGACACCAACAGTCTGAAGGTGAAAACGCAGCTGTTGAACAAACTGTTGCTACCTAGTCACCCAACTTACTACAAGCCCAGGGAAAATTGATGTAACCATTTTGGTGAAGGAGTATATACATTCAGTGGAACCTGGCCACAAACACTTGGTCAGCTCTTTCTCATTCCTTTTGTGAGAATTTGTTCTTAAATGACAGGCGGCTATTTCTTACACATATTCTATCATATGAACAGATACATTGCTGATATCTACAGGAAATTGAGTTGTGTGTGCTATCAGCATACTGCTGATGGGGTCAAGGTTATGGCATCTTTATCTCCCAATGTTTTCACAAAGACATGGAAGAGACAATGCCATTGTATGGATTCCTGAGAGATCTTGCAGGTAAGAGCCTTTGCAGAGGAGGAATTATTGCTCCCTCCACTCTTTATGGTCATCTCTGCCACTGTAGTATTTGACAACCAATTTCTGATATCCTGATATATATGACCATGTTACTAATATCTTTTTCAGGTTGGGGGGGAGGTGTGACTTGCGAGGGGGAGTCTCTTTTCTTTATTTGATTATCTTTCAATTTTTCCATAGGATTTAGGGCATACTGCATACAGCATTACTTTTTACTTTTAAACTTTTAAATGACAATATGATAGATATTTACAACTGTTTAACATAATAAGTTCCAGTATCAAAGATGATTAGTTACCTACCTAACGTTCATTATCATTCTTTGAGTTGTAGTCAGTGTAAGTCTATTCTAGGGTGTCAAAAACGAAAGGGTGGACGGTGTAAAAGTTTGTCTTGCACGAATTTGGGTCGGGGGTTGTTTTGGGCATTTCTGTATTTTAACTATGTGCTCGTCAGACCTTCAGAGTCCCCTTTGGAGGCACAGAAAGCAGGACCAATAAATTCCTTCTTCAGCGCCTTGGAAGAAAGGGTTAGAAGAGCTAGAAGACGAGTCATGCAATTCACAGTATCTCCAAGAACCAAAGTTACTTTAGGACAAGCATTATATTTTCTGTGCAACAGAGGTTACACAGCGGGTGACTACGAATAAGGGCGGTAATGCTGAGAAGCTGTTGAGCCTCTTTATAGCCAATACAAGCACGGATCCAGATTCTATGTTGCATCTAAGCTGGCTTCCATATCAAGTTGATAGTGTCAAGCAAAACAGTAGCAGGCTTCCTCTATCCTATTGTTTTTCTTACCAGTGATGTATTTAAAAGGCATGGTGTTCTATTACTACCTAAGAAGCTTAGTTGTATCTCCACAGCTGTTTGAGACTACTTTTACAGCAATGTATTCATTATGAATCAAACATTAGCACTATTAGCACTGTTATTTCTGATATTTCATGATTAAATAAGGAAAAAAGTGGTGTCACATCTACAATACCAAAAAGTAAAAAAAAAATTTAAATTTAATTTTTTGGCAAGCATTCAGATAATTAGTACAAGGCACAGGGCAATAAGACATAAAAAAAATCAACTTCAACAGAACGAAATCCAATATTAAGAATTTCAGGGGAAATTTTTTGTAAGTGTGAAGCAAAACGACGAGAAAATAGTTTTCCTGTCTGGCTGGTCATCTTTACACTCTGATGAACATGTTGGATACATACTGAAATCAATAATTTTTCTTAGACTTCCTGATAGAGCTTACTACATCAAGTTGATACTAACTTCATACAATTCCTCTGTCGTCAATATTTTCCAACACGAAACATAAAAGATTTATTAGTACTTAATCAGTTATTGCTTCCCACTCTCTTTGTAATTCATTCCTATTGGGAGTCTTACAAGTCAGTTGAAGAATCAATTGCTGAAAAACGTCAGCATGCTCAATTATCTCCTGAGTTGCAATGTAAATTAACAACACAATGATTAATCATCTATAGAAATTGCATTGTTCAAATTCAAATGTCTGTAATTGGCACTTTACGTAATCTTTTATTAACTCAGGACTGTTATGAGACTACTGATCAAAACAGAAGACCCAAGCGTTTCTCAAAAGTAAACTTAAGTAGAACATACTCTAAATGTACTCATGACGAACAACATTAGTTTAATTAGGCATATTGGCTTACCACTTCCACCCTGTGTTGAAAGTCCTTCATCTTCAAATATATCAAAACTCTCTTGTCGGGTTTGAGTTGTTTCAGTTTTTAATGTCTCAAGTGGCATTCTCAGGACAGTAAGATTATACTGAAGGGAGTGAGATAGATCATAGCTGTAACTGATAGACAGTTATCGTTTATTAATAATTGTAGACTTTTCTGGAAGTCCTTACTCTCCATCTGTACTTATATTTAACACAGTACTATTTTATCCATTTAAAAAAAACCTTTTAAACAAGATTCGCAGATTCTGATTCTATAATGATACAAATGATTTCCAAAAGAAGCTTTACAAACATAGAAACTGTTGACAGTAAAATAGCGGAAATATCCATATACATAGGGAACCTCATTTTTCTCAGATTTAAGTACTACTGTCTAAATACTACCTGAGCTCAAAACAGCCAAAAATTTGGTCCCCAAAAACTGTATCTGTTTTCAAATTTGTGACTGCAGCATAGATGCATCCTAAGACAGTGGCTGCTGAATAAGCAAAAGATGGAACTAATAAAAAGATAAAAACCACAACAGTAACAAATTCTGCATGTCATGTCTTTTAAACTGACAACACTCTACACTAATTGCTAAATTTTATAAGCCACTAGGATTCATTTCCCCAAGGAGAAACCTTGAATCAGAAATACAAACAGATTTCCAAAGATTTTCCTAAGATGGCATCAATGATTGCTGGGCCCCCAGTAAGTTCTAGATATTCATTAATGATCTAAAAAAATTTATTTAAACATTGGACATTTAGATTTATCGCTGATGATAAAGTCTAACTCACGTATTCACCACATTTCCATAATAATGACCTGACATGTTTATCCGTTAGAAAAAAAACCCATGAAGTCTGTTACATGCTCATCTTGCATGTACCAGAATCTTTATACAGTATCTCAGTAAAAGACTTGTTCAGGCTATTCTTCCATTTTCCCCTCAGACCAAATGTTTTCTTATAACTAACTTCTAATTCTGTTCAGGATTTATATGAAAACCATGCAAAAAATATGCTATGATTTCAGCCAAGAACAATTTAAATTAAGCTGATAAATGTGTTTATCAGAGAGTTGTAAGAACCTTCTCCTTTCCCCTCTACACACGATCACAGAAACAGTATACATTCATCATCTCCAAGCAGAAAAAAACCCGAAAGTTGTATAATATTAGGGCTGGGAAACAAAGCATGGAAGAAAAATGCAGGTTTTACACTGTGAAAAAGCCTTTCCATGCAAAACCACAAAATAGACATGAAACTTTGGTAGGTTTCATCTTCAGATACAGTTGTGACAAAAAGCCTTTATTTTCCAAGAGGCAGTATGTTCTAGACTGATATACCTTTCGGTACTTGCAAGAGGGGTTTTTTTGGTTTTGTTTTTTAAGTCTTAAAGTCTTCTAACTACTACTGCCAGGTTTATCACCACATTTCCCCCATTTTTCTGCTGTCCCAAAAATCTCATGTGTAATAGTAGCTGGGACACAGAAGCTTGTCTCAGGTATGGCATTTATGAAGCAGTATGCAAGACAATTGGTAATGCCTAGAAGGCCCTATGAAAGACGTACCCTACACAGGGTATATCTTAGATGAGGACCTGTTTCTGTATCTTTGTTTCTGAATCAAAGCAAAGCTTTATTTCTGGAAAATGAGATCAAGAAAGAAAAACTGAGAGGACAAGCAAACCCCCAAAATATACTATTTTTCCAAAGAAAGAACTTCTGCATAATCAAAGGTGAACAGTCAGTGGAAACAGTAATTTCAGTGTCTACCTTCTACCATGTCACCAATATTTCTATAGTTTTTCAACTTCATGGAGACTGCATTCCTAATCAGTTTGTTGAAGGAGAAAGCAGGTTCAAGACACAGATGAAAACGGACAAGCAGTGTGATCACGTCTTATTTCCTCAGAACACCAACCAAAAGCAGAATCTTACAGCAAGTGCAAGTATACAGTTTTTTTAGAGGAATTAGTAACGAATACTTACCTAAAATAGAAGTTGCTAGAAAGGTCCACATTTTGAAAGATTCTCAGATACCTAGCAAAATAATGCAAGTTAAAGGGAAAGTTATCACTTTAACCAGACAGACCCCAAGAAGTCATTCAGAGGATCTCAGAAGTTAAACTACATATAAATATTGACTCTTGCCATAAGTTCTCTAGCTATCTTGCTGTAATTGTTTTGACAGGTAATTCCACTAGAATGTCAGCATCTGGATTAAATAAAGCAAATAGGCTTTTTTTAATCCAGTGTCTACTCGTGTACATACTCTCTTTCTTTAGGCGGTTGTAGATACTGTTGTATTTCTATTTTCCACATATGCGGGTCAAATTCTCTAGGACTTACACAACTAAACTCCCAACAAGTAAACTTGTATATTTAATACACAAGCATTAAATATTTTCACAGTTATACTCAAATAAATGAACAAGAAAAGAAATATCTACTTCAATATGTCATACACTTGCAAATTCTCCGAAGAAACCATAACACTGTCTATGAAAGATAAAATGGCTGACACCATAAATATATAGGTTAGATAATATGGTCTGCTGCATTCTAAGAGGGAGACTGAGGTTTACGATCAGTCATATCTTAACGTGAAAACTTTTGTAATAGTTACCATTGGCTTGATTTATTACCTGACATCAGTTTATCATAATCCTTCACAACTTTTAGACTATTCACACTTGGTACAGACTGAAAAGCAGTTTATTGATATAATTTGCCTGGTATTTCATAGAAGTAGTTACCCCACCCTGATAAAAACACCACCAAGGATGTACTTGTACATTTCACACAAGATTCCCTGCTGATCAAAGGCCCAAATTTCTTTCTTTAGAAAGAAGTCACAGAAAGGAAAAAAGAAGCTAAACTTACCAGTGGGTCAGTTTATCACCCTTTACACCACCAACACTCACAAGATTCTGACAGCACAGAATCACTAAATTAATCTATTCAGCACTTCTTGAGGGGCACAAGAGATCTCTTCAGGTGAGATTAACACGATGCTAGAGCTACTAACAAAAGAACAGTACCCCAAACAATATAAACCAGTATTAGCATTATTTTGCCCTTCTAAGAACAATGTTGCTATTGGACACTTCCTGGCGCACATTTGCTAGAATGTAGCTTTGACATGTAGGTGACATGGAGATGTGGACAAAAAGCTCTGAAAGACTGTAACAGTTGTATTTACCCTCCAGGTTAGAGGCCACAGAACCTGTGGCCCATTCTCCATTCTTCCACGCTAATTTATCAACTAAGATAAAATGGCTTGAATGACATACTAACAGAAGGAATTCCATGGCCGAAATTCCTAGTTGCAGTTCACCGTTGCTTAGAAAATATTCAAGAAGTACACAGTGTTTACCACCATTATTTACCTGGCTTCATCAGGATGAGTGACTCTTACAGAGTCATTTGGAATGTAGATCATATTTGTATCTTCTATTTTATATATAGCATGACCTCCAATATCTGCCATTTTTCTTCTTTTTGTTATTAACACAATATAGTAGCCCTCTAAAAATCTGACAAAACCTGTTAAAACAGGATTAAAATGCTATTATTTGGATGTTTGCATTGATTTGGTCAAACATATTTAGAAAAACAGTATCAGAATTGTTTCAAGACTTCATAGAATTTTTGTTTGTTCTTAATGTTATATGTATAATGTGCACATATATACACACACAAAAATATACATATACATAGACACAGAGTCTTACAATTCATCCCCAGTAAGTGTTAATCAATGAAATACATAGGGTTTACTTTTTTTTCCTCTTCCACTGTACATATTTTTAGTATTAGGTAGCAGAGTTAAAACACTGAAAATTCAGAATAAGTTGCTGTCTAAAGATACTTGTATTTGCTTTTTATAGGACTCTCATTGTCCAGAGTGAGGCATATCCTAGTTACTTCAGACACCAAAAGGTAAATTTTCCAGGGCAAGGAGGAATCCCAATCTCCAATTTGTTTTTCAGGTTTATGTATTCTCTACTGGGGAGGGGCACAGAACAGCAAAAGGAGTTGAGGGTACTACAACACCTTTGTGCTCTCTCTCCTTAACAGCAGGGAATTAAATTCCCTGTCTACAGCAGCATCTCCCCCAAATTAGCCATTCAGAGCATCAGGGGTAATCCTTTCTTTCTATTTCCTTTCTCAGATACCAACATTTGACCCTGCTGAAGTCCAGAGGGCTAAGGAGGTAGAACAGGCAGTGTCTGGCTTTATTGCTTATCAAAAGAAAGCTTCTGAAGCCTCCACCCTCATTCCTTAATGCTACAGGGCATAGCCATGCTTCTTCACTGAGTTGCTTCTTTGGATGTCTCTATTACATACCACTGGAAAAAGTGTAACAAACCTTTAATACAACACAAATGTGTAAATTCAAATTAAAAATGGAAATACATAACCACTCCTGAACCCAAATTTGTTTTTCATACAGTATAGGCAGTGATACAGCAGTACTAAGTTTTAATAATGAATAAATTACATTAATTAGCTCTTGGACGTAGCTGCTTTGATGGATTGCTGCTAGTAAAGAGCCTCAAATTCAGTCACTGCTGCACTGTCAA